GGGGGGGGGGGGGGGGTTGGATGACTACATTATATTCTTAAATATTTGAAACACATGGACCCACAATACGGTATAATATCAAATACAAGAAATTCACATTTAATGGATTCTAAAATCAAGACTCATCGGACTATTTGCCAGGATATTAACCTTTAGCGGTGAATGTTGCAATCGTACATTTTCCTGTTGACTGCTGACTCTTAGATTTGTATCTAATAGCTTGTATTTATTTCGAGACTGGAAACTAGGCAGAAACTATAGATTTAGAAAACTGATGACTGTTGGAACCGGTTCATGATTCAGAGAATAAATCATCATCCCTGTAGTACTATCGGAGACCCCCTTTCATTGGAGACCCCCAAAGCTATCTCATCGGGGCCCCCCAGAATTTCGTTGAAGACCCTGATCAAGCTCATCACCCGAGACCCCAGTTTTTCATTGTAGACCGAGTAGACCCAAAGCTGTACATTAGATTTTTCTTAGACTTTTGATTCACCTACATCGGTCGGCGTTATATCTATACAATCTATGCTTTGATTTTAATCAAGATTTTTTCAAATGGCAAGTGTAAAAGAAAACAAAGAAAAGTTGTTAATTGCCAGCTTCTTTTTGTTTACATTTTAATTGTGTATCCAGGTTGTTTAATAGCTTGGTGGATATTAAAAATCTTAATCAAAAATCGTCTTTATTGTATTAATATATGCGACGACAACTGTATTACCATTCTTCTTAATCCAGCTTTCTAAAGGAATCGTCGTTGTGATTCTAAGTAACTCTTTATTTAAAGAGGGGCATTCCAAATCAAAGAGAATAGAATATATATTAAAGGGGAATTTACTAGAAAAAAAGTGTAAAACGGCAATTTTGTTGTACTGTTTCCATACTGCAGGTGTACTTCACATATTTATGCTACAGGGTGTCCCACATCATATTAGACCGAGAACGGGTCTAAATTACGACTTTCGGGACTAATTAGAAAATTTCATGAGAACGAATCATTTTGAAAAATAAAATAAGGCTTGTATAAAAATTTTCTTGCGGAAAATGATAAGTTTTTCGAGTAT